GAAAATACAATACTTTACAGTTGAGACTGAAATTTAGATTAAAAAACATCTTCCTTATGTGCATTAAGTATTCCCCAAAACATTTTCTTTTCTTTTTTTAATCTAGAAAATATAAATGATCAAAACATAGTATTTAATAACATCTCTTAGGTGGTGTTTGGTTGGGAGCTTTTCAGCGGATATCTATGTTTCTCAAGTATGACTTTTAGAAACACCATGTTTGTTTCAACGTTTTTTACCAAAAACCCATCTATCCAATTTGTCTGGATTTATGAGAAACATAGATATCCGCACTGTTTAGAAACCCAATTTGAAGGTGGGATTTTTCGAAAAACCAGTTATCTGACTTTTAATCCACTGTTGATTTCATAAAGTTACCTAATTTTCCCAGTAAAGTTTTTCCCCACCAAACAACTTTTTTTTACATTTTTCTACCTATCCCACTTTATCTATCTTTCCAATCATTTTTCTATCTATCTCATTTTCCTACTATTCCAAAAAAAATTCCTAAACCAAACGCCTCGTTTTTGATTTAGCCGTAAAGCTTTGAACCATGGAACTTGCTTGGCATATGTAGAGTCTGAAGTTGATTTTGATTCATATTAAGCCACTGGCGCAGCCACATTATAATTAGATAGGATCTGGTTCTGATTATATTTCAATAAATTTTATTTATTATATATAATAAGAGGAAGGATATTCTTACTACCAAAATTTTCTACTACTAACTTACTACCTATCTAATCACCATTGAATCAAAGAGAGAGAATGCTAAACAAATTTTGAAAAAAGAGAAAATGTTGATCTAATGGTGATTATATAGGTAGTGAGTTGGTAGTAGAAGATTTTGTTAGTAAGAATATCTTTTCTCATATAATAATATAAGTAATTATAAATGGGCATTAGTTAAAGGGGTTTGATTTTCTTATCTTAAATGAGAATTCAATTCTCATGTTGTAGAGATAAAAAGCATGTGGGGCCCATGTGTTAAAAAAATTATATGTAGGACCCATGTCAGCACGGAAATCGAAGGGTGTGTAGGAAAATTTGAATTCTCATGTTAAATGAGAATTATAAAACCCTTAGTTAAAATTATAAATTGGCCCTAACTAAAATTGTAACAATCGTAACAGACGAAGATTTTGGAGCTTCTTTGCGTGTATGACCATATAATAGATTTCTTTCTTCTTAATTTCTTCTTCTTCTTCTTTCATCTTTTTTCAATTAGGATTTTTTTCTAATTTTTTTTTCTTATTCGCACTCACCATCTGAACCCAGCCATTCTGCAACAAGGTACGATGTTTTGTTCCTTTATCAAGATTTTAGGAACACATGTTCTTGGAATATGCATTGGTAAATTATATTGTCCGCTCGGGAAAAAAATTAATTTATATTTTTTAATCTTGTAAAAGAGAAATTCTTTATTTTTGCTGACCATAATTGTTTATTGGGTGTTTTTAATATGAGTGAAATTCATGCCCCTTTTTTTTGTGTGGTTATATTTATTGATTTTATTTCTTTTGAAAATGGAGTGCTTTTTACATTTATCTTTTTTTAAAAAAATTATTTTAATGTAGAGCTACAATTGCTATTGGTAATGGAATTGAATTGTTTCCTGATGTTATTTGTATTTTACAACAGGAATGAGAATTTTGGCGATTAATCAGTGGAAACTGTTAAAGAGAAAAATAATGAAGATATATGTATATATATGGAGTATGAAAATTTCTTGTACATATTCATTAACAATTTCTTTGTTTTTTTTGTATTTTTAAAATTTTTAAAATATCTAAACACTGATTAAATAATTTATGTGGATCCAATGTCATTTAAATGATTTTAGACATTTGTCGCTGATTGTTCCATGTTTCTTTTTAATTGTGAAGTTTGTTGTCCCTCTACATTGATATTCTTCACAGGTCACGACTAGGGGTATAAATGGGCCAAGTTAGGCCAGGCTTTGGCTTTGAGAGCCTAAGCCTATGTAAAATATTTAGAGCCTATATTGACCTATTAGCTTATTAAAGACTTTATTTATAGGCTATGAAGCATCGACACTTCAAAAACCCTGACGTGTCATGTCCGACACTCACCAACACTCCGTCACTTCCCAACACTCCAATACTCGTTGCAAAGACTCAAAAAAGTTCAATACTCGTTGCAAAGACTTAAAAAAGATTCAAATGTTACGTTGCGTTGAATTTTGAATTCTAAATATTAGATTCGTTAGATTACGATTACGATTTTATTAAGTATAATATAAACATTTGGGATATCTTATGTTTCTTTGCAAAATTGATGGGTATTATAAGTTTAACTTTATTTTTTTGTTAAATTATTGAATACTAAATATAATATACACTACATAAATTAAAAATATTATATAATATCAAATCGTGTTCTAACGTGTCAAAATTTAACATCTTTTAGAATTAACGTGTCGGAGTGTCGTGTTGTGTCGTATCTCATGTCCCGTGTCGGTATCGGTGCAACATAATTTACAGGTCTTCCCTGACCTATTACAAAAAATCTAATACGAATTGTAAAGCCTACCAAGTTGCAAACTAAAGCTAATAAGCCCAAACCAAATTAAAATATATAAAAAAAAATTATTCACAAAGATCACATGAAATACATTTTCATTAACATATCACATGAAATAAATTCTCATTAACATCACATGAAATAATGTTCATAAAGATCATATGAAAATGTTTATAAAAATCACATGAAAATTTCATATATGTATATGTACATATAATTTGCACTTTCTTTACTAATTTAATTTTATATTATATTTTAAATTTTAAATAATTATTTATTATTTATTAAAATAACATTGATCCTATTACTTTAAAGTTTTTAAGTAAAATTTTTTCTAATAGATTTGTATAATTACAGAAATATTTTGATAATTTAATATGCCAAATTTTTTGACCCCGACTAAATTGATGAACCATTAAACTTGGGCATAGGACCAACACCACAAAAATAATGTTCAATGGAACAACCAGCGACACAGTCAAGGAGCCCTTCTTCTCCTTTCTGAGTTGGCATCACATAAAACTGATTGAGATACCCAATTCCCAAAGACTACCATTTCAACAATCCAATAACAATTCCAGAAAAAGTGTGTCATTTTAAACAACACATCGTATATTATTCACTCTCGTATAAAAAGATAAGACCCATGTCTTTAAAAAAATTTATTCTCATTATCTTTTTAATGATTTATCTTTTTCTCTCACAACTTTGTGTTCTTTGAAATCATACACACTTTTCCCTAACAATTCAGTACAAAAGGAGCCAACTTTGGTTCAACAAGGAGAAGAACAATAAGATATTGCGGCTTAAAAAGCAGAGAAAGAGTAACCAAGAAGTACCTCACGAATGACGGCATTGGGATGAACAATGGCACTGGGTGGATAAACCCTCTCGTCCTCCGCAACATCTACAAGGTCAAATAATGGCACAAAGAACTCAATGTGAAACCATTACCCAAAAATTAAAAAGGAGAAATTTTTAGCATTGATGATTGATACAAGTAGCGAGTCATTTGAAAAAAATAAAATTAAACAAAGGAACATATAAGGGGTAGGAGCGTGGCTCAAAGAGCAAACTTCGGATTCGGAGTGCAAAGGAAAAGGACATGCGAGTCCTAAGTTTTGAGGAACCTCCACATGTTTGGTTTGGTTTCAGCAGCGGCACATATGTTTGCTTAAACACTTCGTTTATGGCTTTTATACTTCTTCTGTGTGGTAATTTTTTGCAACTAACATATAAAATATAAGGATACATATGTGCATCTTAACATTTTTTCTAAAACAAAAAAAAAAATTGATGAATCACTTTTACTTTTCTTTTTCTTTTTTCATGTGTGTTGCAACATAAAGAATTACAACAGAAGTTTGGACCCTTTTGTTATTGTTACTAATTTTTTTGTATCCACTTAATTATTTTTCGAATTTACAGATTGAAAAAAGAATCAAAGGTTTGATGTTTATTATGTTATAAGAGATAAAATTATTTTCTACATATACATAAAAGTATATAAGATCTATTTGGAGCCATGTAAAGAGAAAAAAAGAAAGAAAAAATGGGCCCTAAATAATTTTATGTATGTGTAGGAAATAATTTTATCTCCTATAGATATTAAACCCATATACAAAAAGGTACTAAAAGAGTTACCATAGAGATTAGAGAATGCTAACCACAAAAGGCTAAATCAATATTAATAAAGAATAAGAGAAATATATATATATATATATATATATATATATATATATATATATATATATATATATATATATATATTGATATAAGAAATTAGAAAATCATGATCATTCATTTATTCAAGATCCTCTCAATAATGTTAAATAAGTATTCTTGTGTGATGGAACAAGTTAAGGATATTCTTAACGGAGTTTCTTATGTCATTATTGAGAGATTGGTTATCTTTTTAGGATTAATCCGACATAATTGTTTATATGAAGATTTAATTAAAATACAAGTCCCTCTATTCCCTTCCCCTTAACAACACTGAGTATAAGGTGCGGATCATTTATGAATCCAAGTTCGATATGGATGGATGAATTTTACTTACATGGGCAGGAATTCGAAATCCAAACGAAATTGGAAGTTATTTGTTTCGCGTAATTTCATTAAATTGGCCAAAAGTGGAACCAAATTCGGAATGCTTTTGTGTACATGGAACCAACCAATATAGGTGATTGCAAAATCTAAACAAACACATATCATTTGCAGTATTCAAGTAAAACTTCATGCCATTTTAGAATATTAAGAATAAATCAAACTATTGCTGTATCAAGTCTTCTTCCAAGAAGCTATGAACATCTGTACTTTCCAGATAAAAAATTTTAGAACCAGCAAGAGGACCTCCAAGTTCTCATCAATTCCTGACAAGAAATATTACTGCTATATGACAATCCGCAAGCTTCTGGTTATCCTTTATGTTTTGCACTATTGTTCAGGATTAAACTTTAACCTTCCAGCATCCGGAGCACCTATATGAGAATGAATATAAAGAATGAGGGAAAGATGAAACACTGAAGATGTATAAAAAAGAAGGATGGGGTGACAAATTAAATTAGCTTCCCTACAAAGTACAAACACATTCAGGACCAAAATTCTGCAGACACTTAATGCAACAGAAAATTTTCTACATGGAAGGATCTCCACAAAACAATCAAAAAGTGAGAGTAATGATGGATGGTTAAAATCTTCTCCAACTTACTTTATGTTTGGAATGTGTCCAAAATTGTGTGTGCTGATATCAGTTCTCAATTCAGATATTTACCAACTATTTCACCTTTTTGTGTGGTGATTGCTTGAGATGTCATTCTATTATTTATTAAGTAACAATGAAGTTCTGCATGTCTTTTTTAATACCCTGATTTGGGACCAAGAGACAACCACACAAGTGTATCTATAAAAAAACTTTTCTTTTCTATTCTTGCTTTCTTGCTCTCTCTTTTTTTCTCTTGATCTCTTTATCTACATTTCATACAAACTATCAAAGGCTATTTATAAGCTATAAAACTGACCAACATAACTCCACACATAACACCCTCATTACTTTATAACTGACTCATTAATATTCTAACTGACATAACTGACTCATTAATATTTTAACTGACACAAGAAACTAAAAAACCAAAACTGCTAAAAAACGGACATTTAAAATTTATCCCAACAAAACTCCCCCATAAATTTTGAATTCTTCTTTTTTGAATTTTCCATTTCTTCAATTTTTTTTTTTGTCCGGCGATTCCTTCATTGGTGGAAGATAGACAGTCTTGAATTTTTCTCCGTCGAACTCATCCTCCGATATACTTCCACATCCATTCTTACACGTATGATCATCACACAAGTCATCATACTGATCAGTATCTGTATCACTATAACGTCCCATTAGTTTTACAACACCTATGCCAATTTTAATACTTTCAGATTCAACCACAATAACCCCATCACTCATTGAGGACCGTTGATTCCCATCATCAAGCAAATAACTCAACTCATCCTTTTCTGATTCCGCCCCACGATCTTCTTCTGGTTTACGCTTGAGCCAAAATGATTCCGCCATAAAAGTAACTCTAGGCTCCTCATCGCCGGGTTCCCTATCCACAATCACGTCTTCCATTTTTTCGCTCTCAGTTTCTTCATCGCCGGGTTCTTCTTCTTCGAGTCCAGCTTCCACGCGCCTCATCAATGGAATCTCAGACAACCGTCCTCCAGGGAAATGGTCTCTTTTCGGTGGAGTCGACATCTTCCACTTCCACCATGAATTCAATGCAGTCTCCGACTTCTGACTTCCAACCCGAACCGCGCCTATGTCGGTCTCCGACATCAACCTCATTACGCCGGGGTCGAGCTCTTCTCCAAAACATGAACTCGGTTATTTAGCCGGGATCTCCCCCATCCCGGTTATCAACACAGAACTCGGATTCGCGGTCTCCTCCATGCCGGTCTCCATCAAGCACCTCGGCTTCTCAATCTCCTTTCCGATTTTCGACTCTGTCTCCAGACACTCAGGTTCCACGAAGTCTTCTACCTTGACAATGGACTCGTTGTTCCCGTCCTTCTCCGCTTCGATCTCGGCTCCTTCGTTCTCCTCATCTCCATCGTCTTCTTCTCCGAGTCATCTCTTACGCGCTCCGACACGTCAATCTCCTCCGCGGATGCGTTGCCGTTGGCAACCTCGGATTCCACCATCTCGGTCTCTTCTTCATCCGCATCATTTTCCTCATCTTCATCATGATCATTGAAGATTTCATCTTCTTCATTAATCAGATCAAAACGTCCAGGCAAGTATTTTGTTATGAAGGCCATTAGAAAATCATTCCACATATTATTAAAGTCGCGGCAGTTCCATGTACGGAATCATTTGATTGCGCTTCCTCTGAGTCTTCTCATGGCTACCTGCCATTTGTTCTCCGTCCAGTTCTTTTCTTTCCGAAAATGTTCCTTCAAACAGAGAAGCCAATCTAATGCTTCATCCTTATCTCCATGAAAGAGTGGCACTTCCATCTCGTTCTTTTCCTCCATAGCCCAAGCTCTGATACCAATTTGTTAGAATTGAATATCCACACAGATGCAAGAGACAACCACACAAGTGTATCTATAAAAAAACTTTTCTTTTCTATTCTTGCTCTTTTTCTTTTTTCTCTTGATCTACATTTCATACAAACTATCAAAGGCTATTTATAAGCTATAAAACTGACCAACATAACTCCACACATAACACCCTCATTACTTAACTGACTCATTAATATTCTAACTGACATAACTGACTCATTAATATTTTAACTGACACAAGAAACTAAAAAACCAAAACTGCTAAAAAACGGACATTTAAAATTTATCCCAACATATATGGCATACCAAAGCATTACATATAAACTTACGACTTGATTTTTCAACCTGAGACATTCGTGGCCTTGAATGAGGATCCTGCTGGATGCACAATGAGGAACATTGCAGCATGCGGTGAACCTCTTTATCAATAGCGCAGTTTCTTATGCTTGGATCAACCAGTTCATCAATGGCATGTACCTCAAGCAATGGACGTGCCTATCCAAATATTGGACCATAAGCATACATGAAATAAATTTATACTGAATAGTTTTTGTATGAGAAAAAAGACAGTTGTAATTACTCTATTCTTATAAGAGCTAAATTCAATCTAAGATTAATATTTGAATGGATAGCTTATTCTACCTACTATTTTTTCTGCCTACTTTTATCTACCATTCTAAAACACCATTAAATCAGAATCTTAACTAACATTTATCTTTCTCTCTCTTCTTGAGATTATGATCTAACGGTGTTGGAGAGTGGTAGACAAAAGTAGACAAAAAAAAATGGTAAGTAGAATAACTTATCCCATATTTGAATATGAATTGAATTCAACATTTTCAAATACATGATAAATTGGGTAACATTAAACTCCTGAAAAATGTAAGATTATTACCCACTCATGGAGGCATTGCTGACCTTTGGGCCTGTTTACATCCATAGCTTTCCTTCCAGTAATAAGCTCCAGTAATACTACCCCAAAGGAATACACATCAGCTTTTTCAGTGATTTCCCCACTTAGAGTATATTCTGGAGCCAAATACCTATGCAAGAGGAAAGTTTCCATTATCACTTTCTACAACTAATTAAAAGGAAAAAAAAAAGAGAAGATAAATTTTTTTTCTTTCAACTGTTACTACCCTAATGTTCCTATCACCCTGGATTGTACACCCATTTCTCCATCCGGCTGCCACCTGGCAAGTCCAAAATCTCCAACCTAAAGTCCATTAGATGCAGTTAGTTAAGACATTTTATAAATGAAATATAACTGAAAGCATGATTATGCACATTTGGTTTCTTATTGGGATAAATAATCTTCAAAGAAAAGGCATGGTTAGTGGGGACCAACATAAAGTCTAGTAGGTTAAAAAAAAAAAAAAGCAAAGAAGAATAAATAAAATCAATAATTGCAGTAAAAAGAATACAAAGCCAAGAATGCAAGCATAGGTTTTTGTTTAAGAATAATTGTACGCACTAATGCTTCAAAGTCATGAGTGAGGAGAATATTGTTAGGCCTCATGTCACGGTGCACAATACAACCCACTCTACATTCTTCATGAAGGTATCTCAAACCACGAGCTGTTCCAACTGCAATTTTTTTACGTGCAGACCATTCTAGTACATTCTGCTTTTGTCCTGCAGTTCCAAAATGAGCTTTTAATTTGCATTTTCTTGATTTGTGATTGAAGATAAATACATAAATCAATTGGAAAAAGAAGCAAACTTTGGATAACAGCTCTAACATCATCAACAATTCACGATTTATTTGATTGCTACACATTACAACCAATGCCAACTTTAAAAGTTCTATTAAGATTATGATAATTAACTTGTCAGATAAATGCACCTACTAAGACATTAAGAATGCCAAAAGCATGAAATGAATAAGAACACAATACAGCAATTTGCACTACTGTTTGTGATGTAGTAAAGTATCTATAGGATTCAAATTATTTACCATGAAGATGAGAATATAGGGATCCGTTGCAGATGTATTCATAAACTAGCAGTCTTCTTCCATTCTCCACACAAAACCCAATGAGCATCACAACATTACGATGTTGTGCACAGCTTAACACCTCAACTTCAGAGCAAAAATCTTTATCACCTTGAGTACTAGCTACTTTATACTGCTTGACAGCAATGACCTGCCCATTACGTAGGACACCACGGTGTACAGAACCAAACCCACCTTCAGCCAAAAAATTTGCTTGTGAAAATCCACATGTGGCATGTTGCAGTTCAGCAAATGTAAACCATCTTGGAGGATTACCAAATACAGGTGAACTATGCTGACAAATAGAGCACAATGGGGGAGTTCCATGAGGGGCACTTCTGGCTTGTGAAATTGCTTCTCTAACACTTCTACTTAAGTTCACATCAAGTTTACACCTAAGTACTCCTAAATTAGGATCTTGATCCAACTTTGAGAATTTCTGATGCAATGCTTTGTTTATAGAAACCAAAGCCTCATCACTGGATCTTAGCATAATGTCCTCTTTTGAAATGTCACCATCAATGCAAATTGCATTTGAAATCCATGGCTGGAAATATGAACTTCTGGATGATAAACTCAAATCTTCACTCTCTGAATCATTTAATGTTGATGATGTTCCAACGTTAGTTGAAGTCAGGTTTGACCCGAGTTTTGAACTACTGGCAGAAGTAACAATAGGACCTCTAATCATATCTGGATGTTCAGACTTGTCTTTGAAGTTTCTTGGAAAAGCATTCAGCTTCGATGACAATGGACAACCCCCTTTAAGTTCCATATTTGGTGAACTGGTCAAATTCAATCGTAGAACATTTGGCCCAGATCGCTTCATGATTACAACATTGCAACTTAGCTCCTCCATGCAGTATTTCTTCTCATTTTTCAATTTTCTGCGATTGTGGAACAATGAATAAATGCTTTTCAGTCCATAAGAAATTTGAGAAAATTTTCAACATGAACAAGCATTCACTGATGGCATTGCATATCCACAAAGACATAAAATAAAAATGAATAGGAAGTGTTCACCAATGGCATTGGATTCACAAAGAACTGTTTCTATTAACATTGCATGTTAAAACACAAATACTGTTCATAATATTCCTTACTTGTCTAATATAACCCAGCTTGATTGAACTCTCTTGGCTTCAGCAGCCACTGCTCCACATACGGAACTAGAAAGAATCTTTACTCTGATCTTTATCTGTTTAAATATTTGGCAACTCAGAAAAGCTGAACGATAGACATAAAGCAAAAAGGACAACTTATTTGAAAGTTATTGAAAATATACGTTCTAACCTTCTCTGGATCATAAAAATCATGAAGTTGAAGAACCATTTGAGAACATGAATTAACACTAACTTCTCTCTGATCTGAAACAGTTCCTAAACGAGATATCCAGTGACTAGTGATACAATCAGCAGCCAGTTTCGGAAGTCCCCATATCTTCGTGTCTGAACATATTACAATCAAACACAACTAATACTAACAAAATAAATAGAATAATTTTTAGAATAATTTCTTGTTCTTTCGTATCTCAAGGAGTTAAGGTCACACATTTATGGTTCAAAATTCAACTATTATTCGATATACTCTTACCTACATATTGCTTTATTTTCAGTTTGCATCTTCTTATTCAATGTTGTGTATGTGTATGTATACAGGCATAATGGTTGTTAATAATTTACATACTATCTAGTAGTCCCATGAACCATTGACTACTATGAAGTGAATAACTAGACAAAAAGCATGGCATTCTTAACCTTTCCAATCATTTTCTAATTTATGATGAACCACTGAACTGTAGACAGTAGATACTTCATCCTAAATGCAAAATTCTTGGACTATCTTAGCAAATATTCATGATGTGCATGGTTTTAAATATGCAAGATATCAAGCATTTACCATTGTTGAGATATATAAAACTATTAATGTAGCCTCACCCAATAACTTAAGCTTTTGGGTTGAATTGGTTCTTTACAACCATGAAGTCTACACGAGGAGTAACTAAGACACTGCTTCTATGACAAAATAGCACGTGATTAACCAAAAATAAAGAAAGAAAGTGAAGAAAAAAATCAATCAAAATCAAGAGTAAAGGATAAGAAATGAAGGGCAGCATGAGCAATTTGAGTAAAATGAAAGAAAATCATGAGTGACATACTTGAGCAGATAGCCGGAATAACGACCAACATCTTAATGCAGTCCCCTGGTTGAGCAACATGATTCAAAGCCCACACCAAAGCAGTCCTTGAAATCTCTTTTGAAGCTTTAACTGCAACCACCACCACTTTGCCAGTGATGTCAGAAGAACCCTTTCGGCTACTCATCTCAAATTCTCAACTTGCCAAAAGTAAGTGGAAAGAAAAACAGATTAACCACTGAATTTTGTGCTCTTCTTAGGAGCCCACAAAAGATTTTAGTATTTTTCAGCAACCAAAGGTTAATAAGAGAGCAACAAAGTAACGGTCTGTGTTTGATGTGTGACTCAAACTGAGGGAAATAATTTTTTTAAAAAAAATAGTAGCTAGTATTTTAAGCAAGCTACATAGATTTTACTTAGAAACACTCTGAAATAGTCTCGATATTGTTGGAAGTATTCAAGTATGAGTTGTAAAGAAGTACCACATTGGCTAGACCTAGACCAAGTGATGACCATATAAATACAAAAGACCCATAAACTTACAGCCTTAAGGTTTTGGGTTAAAATGTGGGGTCGGCCCACTTATTGTGGTTTATCGCTTGGTCCATGAATGTATCCTTTGCGATGGATTTTGGACTCCCCCGTACCATTCCCAACAGATACAAGGCATCGGAAGTATCTTTGAAGGTTCAAACTATTAAGAATATTTAATTTGGAAACATATATACAATTGTATTCGGCACAAAATTTCACCTCCCTTCAATCAATCACACTATACATTGAACTGAATAGAGAGACTGATTAAAATATAAATAAGTCATTTTCATATGTAAGAGAATGCCAATTGGGATATATTTATTTAGTCAAAACCTTTGCATAATGCATACAAATAGAATGGCCAAAGCCATGCACAATTGATTATTGGGTTGTCATTTTGTTTGCTTTGGTTGATGCATTAAGCCAAAAAAGATGTACTCTGTTGGTGGCTGCAAGTACTGTTGATTTTTATTTTTTATTTTGGTGAGTATTGATCACATAGTTAAAATGAAAGACAAAGGTCATAATTGATTGTATAATGCATATGTTACATTTATTGGATCAGAGAAGTGACCCATTTTCGGTCGAATTGAATTCATTCAACCTGATAACGGTCGATTGTATGGCTATGGCTCACAGCCTAACAATCTTTGACATGGCAAAACCTTTCTTTCAAACGAGTTATGCATTTTCTCAGTGTAAACCTTTGCTATTAATTCGTTAATGATTCTGAATACAGTATTGTTGACTATTAATTGGTTCAGTATAAAAAATTAAACCAAACTAGCAATATTATTTGATTTACTGAACTGAACAGTTTTTTATTTTTTTAGTAACTTGGTTCGATTTTTTATGAACTAGTTTAGAATCGATTTTAAATCGATTTACTCCCCTCTCTCTCTCTTGTCTTTTTTTCTTTTTTAAGAAAAATGATACTAAAAGGGACCTCCATGATGTTAGGTGGATAGTTATTAATTTTAACTATGCAATATCTTTAGTCATTGTTGAGATATTGCTTTGAATATTGGGATACTATGACATACATAATTGTTGGATGTGTGTGTGAGATATAATGACCCTAACTGGTAAATCTTAGTTAGAGATTTAATTTAAGGATTTAAATGCCATAATTAGATTCAGTGAGCGATTTCGAGTATTTTGACTGTAATCATGACTATGTTATGAACAGTGCGTTCTGCCGGAGAATTTACAGTTTTGTGAATTAACCGGTAGAGCTTAAAATGAGCAAAATAATTGTAGGAACATAATTTGAAAATTCTGATGACAAATATGAGTTCAGAACGAAAAATTGTATAGTCTGGCACTTTCCGTGAAAATCTCGTGAATAGTGTTTCTACCGGGTATTTTGTACTGCTGTTTAAGCAACCGGTAGAGTCCAGAAATAAATAATTGATGAAATAAGAATAAGAAAGTCCAATATATGCCAAGCAAGTCAATATAGGCCCAAGAAAATGATAAGTTTATAAGTTTTAAGTTTCGTAAGTAAAGGAAGTACAATTAGTGATGCACAGTGCATTTCGTCAAAAACGGTGCAAAAACCATACTGTGAATTATGAATATTGTTACTTAGGAAATAAAAATTAATTTAAATGACTTTAGAAAAATAAAAATATATCTGTAGCTTTAAGTTAAGTTCCGGGTCAATTAAGTAAAAATACGCGATAGAAAAACAACCGGGTAAAAGGGCCACATGTGCTTAAAAGCTTAAGTGACTCAAATGAGCACTATTCAAAATCAGCTCTCTCTCCTCTCTTCCTCAAAGAAGCCGAGCTGCACTTGGTGAAAAGGGGGGGTAGGGTTTGGTTCTTCATTTCTTTGATTCTCACTCCAAAGTTAACCAAATCACAAGTCCCACTACTTGAAATCGATGGGAAACCACCCAATGAGTCCATCCCACCCATTTATTTGAGCTATCATTGGTTGTGTGAGGAGATATTTCCTTCCCCAAATTCGTGTACTATTCATCAAGAGGGCAAAATGAAGTTTTTGATGGAGATTCTCTTGGTGTAGGTCTTCTAGGCTTTGGGTAGTTGATTTGAGGTAACAAACCTCTATTTCCATGATGTTGTTTTGATTATTTAAGTTATAAAATTGTGTATATGCCTTGGGTGGAAAAGCATGATGTGTTAAAATATGTATTGATGAGGAATAATTGATACTTTGATGTATAAAATGAAAATAAGCATTTGTATGTATGTAAAAAAAAATTAGAAAAAAATCCTATGATTTCCTCTACATGTTCGGCCATCATAGGTAAAGAGTAGGATGTTGTGCACAATTTTATCTTAAGTATTAGGAAGGTTTAATGTGTAGGAATTAAGTGGAAATTTGATAAATTAGTGAGAATGCCAAAGTGGGAACAATTATATGAAATATGCCCTTAGGTTTAGGCCTTGTGGGGCTTTGGAGGGACTTTATGCTCCAAAAATTAAGTTGGAACCTTATGAAAACATGTATTTGTTTGTGTAAGTTACATGTAAGTGAAGAAAAAGAACCTTTGCCTATGTCCTTGTAGTGTTCGACCTATAGGGTAGTTAGGGATATATTTTGTACATTTTATTTTAAATAAAATGTGTTGTAATAAATTGTATAAAGGTGATGAGTTTTGAAGAAAAATAGCACGATTTATGTTGAAAATTCCTAAGGGAATGGTTGATTAAATTAAAGAACACCAACGGTTATAATGAGGTCTAGACTTGTGTATTGGCATAGGATTGGCAAAAATGCAAAGAAAGGAAAATAAGCGATAAAATGTATGCTTATGAAATAATTATGGTATTGCATCATTTTATTGATGCATTGTAAATTATTCTCTAGGTGTGCCTAGGGATTGAGAAGGATCGGAAATCTCTTGAAGCGATAAAAGTAACTTGTTCCACAAGTAAGCGTATTGGTAAAGCTTCAAGAGGTAAGCTCTATGTTTAAGGAGTCTTTTCCTGCTTGAGTGCTCCACCATGGTTAGTGAACTATGGTTGGACTGTATGACTGTGATTTAGATGCTTTGTATAGATGCATTCATATAGAGTTATTTGATAACATGATATGTTTTGCTCTGATATGACTTCTGTAATATGATTTCTGTAACAATCTCTGGCCATTGATTGTATAGTACCCGGACGTCCGCTTTGGGGTCCTCCCTCGGGACTGATGGTGTACTCCTCTGATATGTCTGGTTCCGCTTTGGGGTCCTCCCTCGGGAACACGTGCGTTGATTTCCGCTTGGGGTCCTCCCTTGGGAATGACGGCGCACATCTCTGATATGATATGGATATATGCTCTGTTCTGTTATGATATCTGTTATATGTTGTATTTGTATACTCTGTATCTGAATTTCATGCAGGAGTGAGCCAGGGGTATGGAGAATTCTCTATAAACCTGGACTTATTGAGATTTGTAATCTCACCCCTCTTTGGGGACACATTTTCAGGGGCCCAGATTTCCGGTGAGTCCTCACTAGGCAGGGACACGACACGTGGCTGAGGCAGTTGACAGACCGGATTTTGAGTGGCTGTAGGCTACTACCTTTTTGGAGTGTTTGATGTATTTTAGTATTTTCGCATTTGATGGATCATGATATTGATCCTTTATTTTGTATATGGCCTGTATATGTTTTGTACATGTCTATCAGTTTGATGCATGTACATTTGAGTATTCAGGAACGTTATATGATGATGTAGTATTCAGATAGGTTTATGTTTTGATCGACGGGGATGTTCATTTATGGTATCTTTGAAATATGCTGTTCGGGTTGTTATGTTCTTGAGTTTTTCTTGGAATACTATGATATGCATGTCTGATCACCGAGTGTGAGCGTAGCTAACTCATTCCTTTGTGTGAAATATACAGAATTATGGTTCGCCCAAGAAGGACTTCTGATCCTCCTATTGACCCGACCGATCCAATATTGGCAGATTTGGCAAGACCCCGACTTAACCCGCGGGGAAATACTTCACAGCCAGATCCAATGATAATGGCCTTAACTGAGATGCAACAAAATATGGCTGCAGCTAGGCAGCGAGAGCTAGAAGTGATGATGAAAGCAAATCAAGATCTGTTAGAGGCTAATAGGTTGGCCAATCAAGAAATGATGGCAGCAAGCAGAATGGCGAATATTGAAATGATGAGATTACTCTTGGTTGAGGTGAGGGCGGGTGGGCAAGGTCCACAGCCACAGCCTTTGCAACAGCCACAGCCTGAGCCACAACCACAACAGCCTGTTCCTCCTCCTCATAATCCCATTGTTGTGGAGGGTGAAGGAAATAATGATGTGAATGAAGAATCTAGTCACAGGGGTGGTGTGGCACAGCCAGCCACTAATAGAGAGCAAAGAGAAAGAATGCTAAATGCCTTCCGAAAACATGCACCACCAAATTATAAAGGAGGCATTGATCCTATTGCTGCAATTCAGTGGTTAGAAGAATTGGATCGCATTTTTACTGTCATGGAGTGTGATGATCAGCAGAAATTGTTGTATGCTTCTTATATGTTGCAGAATGATGCAGCTGATTGGTGGAGAAATACCCGTCTGCCCTTGGAATGTCAGGGTTATGCTATTACCTGGCCTTTATTTGAAAGGCAATTCTTGCTGAAATACTTTCCGGCTGAAGCCCGGATAAGGAAGAAGGGTGA